ATCCTCATCTCTCAGCCCTGGGTAATTGGGATTAGCTGTTACTCATGCAAACAGTGCCACTTTAGTTTAGTCTGATCTCATTTCCACCCAGAAAAGAGTCTGAGGGCCTCAGAAATGCACTGAGAGCCTCCTATTCCCAACGAGCTCCTGCTTTCACTACTCTGTAAATTCAAACATCTATTTTAAAATCAGAGCGGCTGCAAGAGCAGAGTCCCAGTGTTCGTGTGAGGCACAGCTTTTCTGAAAAAAGCCTTCCAGAAATACCCTTTCAGATGCTGAGCAGAAGTAAAACTATCAAGGTCACCTCTGGTTTGATCTTGGCTTGTGCTGTGCATTCCTCGTTTCTCTACACTCTGGCAAGGGCATCAGCATCCTTTTGTAGCTGTGCTGCTTCCTTGGAASAGTAAGCAGCTCTTCCAAAACCTGGCTGTGGGCTTGGCCCTGCCAGGTGAAGTTAATCATGTTAAGGAAAACTTATTTTATCGCTTAAGCCTTGTCTGAGTGAACTTTAGGCAACAGCACTCGGTGGCTCCCAGCAGAGGTTAGGAGTGGAATTACTGGGAGTCAGCTGGCACATTAATTAATGTGGCAAAAACATGGTCTTTTTTTTTCAGGAATGTGGTTCTTTCTCTGCTTTCAGAAAACTTTAAGGTAAGGCACCTTCCTAGAAAACAAGCTGTAGTTTCAAAACAATGAAGAAATCCCAGGTGAGTTTTTCTGCCCTGCGCCATGCAGAAGGTCAGATGGGATTGTTACAGTGGTCCTGCTGGCCTCAACATCTGTGAAAGTTTGCTGCAGCTCCTTTGAATATATAGTCTGCTTAGTAGGAGGTGACTTGTATTTTTTTTTCCTGTTGGCATGTTATCAGAAGAGATCAGACTAATTGTGTATTTATCTAGAATTACGGTTATGAATCTGCTCTAATAAGGCAGTAATTTATATTCTGAGTGATTTATGGCCTGAGCCTGAAAGCCCTCTGAATCCCTTCACTCTGCTGGGGTTTCCTAARGCAAGGTCATTGCAGAATTGTGCTTCCTTGTGCTGTTGATACCCTGATGGTGTGGAACCAACACCTTCATAGCACCACTTATTTGTTAATATTTATACAAAACACCACCTTCAAACCCAGAATGATTGCAATTTGTGTACTATTTTCTTATTCAGCAACTTATTTAACAGCTCCCAAAATCCTCTCCTGCCTTCCCCTGCTGGGGTACCTGGATGACTTGGGAGGAGTTTTAGGAGGCAATTCTACTTCATGCTGGAACTTCTGTGGTTAAAATTCATTCAGCTCCAACAAAGGRGAGTAACGAGCTTTTATAGTCCCTGTGAAATAGTTTTAACCTAGGACTCAAAAGACAAAGACTGCTGCTGAATAGCAATGTTTATTTAGCATTTTAACATTTAAATCTTTCTCTATTTGGATGTSTCTTTGCTTTTGAACTGGAAGCATAAGTTCCTCTGTTTGCCTGCAAAACTCTTTTTTTTTCATCTCACACTGAATCCCCAGAAAATCCTCAAATATTCTTGTAAATCTCAAAGATACCAAGACATTAGCCCCCCCCTTCCTCTCCATTTAGACCTTTGAAGGCTTGTGTGACTGGAATGATTTCAGAGTTATAGTTCAGACTCTGAATAAAAAATGAAGGGAAGCATTTTGCAATACCGTAGCCTGTACAATAACTAATTACTTATAGATTTTAGGTCACATTTGAAAAAGACAAATACTGAAATAAGTGGATAATCATTTGCAGCTACCATTAACAGTTTGTTTAGGCACTTTGGGTTAAATTCAGCTCTGTGTCAGAGTAGCTGCCTGCATTGGTGCATGATCCAGCTTCGTGCCAGTGTCTGTGAGAGACAAACTGGTCCTTTTGCAGGATTAGGGACACTTGTAGCTCAGGCTTGTGCTCTGCACTGGATGGTTGGCTGGGCCTTTGCTGGTGGGAAGAGTTAACCAAGCAAAATATGACCAAATCTGACACTAAGTGAGCCAGAAAAAAAAAAGTCTCAAAAAGTTTTGAGGCCAGATGCAGCTCTCCACCATGATGTTTAGCAGAAAAAGCTAGGAAATGTGCTGGCAGATTTGTGGTGATGTAATCTAAAACATCAGAAGACTTCAGAAGAGAGGGATGAAAATACAATTATTGACCCATGTATGATGTGATGAGTTTAAGCTTTAGATGTAGCCTGCATGTGTATTAAAGTTCTTACCTATCTGTAATGTGAATGTAATGCAGAAAACMAATTCCTTTATTGCAYATTTTAATGCGATGTCTTTAACACATTAATTGCCTTTTTTACATTTGCATCCAGAATCAATAATTTTGCTAAGGATGTGTGTCATGGATACATTTAACATAAGATTCAGGCTTTGGAAACCTGGAGAACTGGCTTTTAGTTAGTTAACATTTTGCTTTTCAGCCTCTCTCTCTTCCCGAGGGGCTTGAGATGGGAAATCTTTTTCCAGTTGCTTCCCTGTGAATTTTAGAAAATTCTTCTACAGTACATATCCCACAGTGTCTGGCTGCTCCCCACTCCTTTACAGCTGACAGAAGGCTCAGTTTTCTCCCCAAAAGGAGAAAAGTCTCAGCTTGGTGTCAGATAGCCTCTATGAAATGCTCATCTTTTTGGAAAGGTAGTGGCAGATATATTGGAAAAGGTGTTTTAGGGCTCCAGAAAAGATTTGTGTCCCCAAGGGTTTTTGCTAACTTACCTCATAAATACATGTGAGCCCATGGGATGGGACAAAACTACCTAAAAGCCCCCAATTCTCCCCACCCATCCCAGATCTCTTCAGATCAYGAGGAACTAACAGGGACAGGGATGGCAGCATCTGAAAATAACACCATTCCAAAGGGAAAGTGTTCCATTTTAATTAATTGTATCCCTTTTATCCACGACAGTGTAATTGCATTTTGCTTAACTAAGTCTTTTTAATTGGTGCTGGGCATGAATGATAAGCAAATCTGTGCCACTCCTTGTTAGCTGTCACAGACAGCTCTTTTAGGGCCGTGCAGGGTGGCTGGGAGGCTTTGAAGTTGGGGTGGAACAGCTCGAGCTGGGTATTTGGGGAGGGAGAGGGTGTGGCCGGGCAAGCCAGCCTCCAAATCTGAGGGCTGTCCCTTTTGTGTAGATGCAAAAGGGTTTTTGTTGCTGACCAACCATCCCTTGGTGATTTTTGGTGCTCTTCCTGCCCTAGTGGACCTTCCCCTATACTGGAGAAGTGGATTTGTGGGGCACCAGTGCCCTCCAAACCTGCTGAAAGGGGATCCAGTGCTTCAGGTTCACTGGGCTTCAGGCACCAAGTGATTTGTGTTCTGCCCCCACAGTGGTAAGGCTGGGAGGGAGCTGTGCAACTGTCCCTGACACCTTTTACTAGACCAGGGTGCTTAAAGACCTCTCCAACCCAGCCTTGAACACTTTGAGGGATGGAGAATCCACAGCTACTCTGGGCAKCCTGTGCCAGCGTCTCACCACCCTCACAGTAAAGAATTGTTCCCTGGTATACAATCTAAACCTACYCTCTTTTAGTTYAAGGCTGTTTCCCCATGTCCTACCCCGACATGCCCTTGTCAAAAACGCCTCTCTAGCTCTCTGCAGGTATTTGGAAGGCGCTCTAAGAGCTCTTTCTTCTCCAGACTGAACAGCCCCGACTCTCTCAGCCTGTCTTCGCAGGAGAGGTGTTCCAGCCCTCTGAGCATCTCTGTGGCCCCTCTGGCCTCCCTCCAGCAGGTCAGCATCCTTGCRGTGCCGGGGGTCTCGGAGCTGGGCTCCAGGCGGGTCTCACCAAGCGGGGTACAGAGGGATGCGCAGGATGCCCGGCTCTCGGTGGGAGAAGGCAGCGAGGACCAGGGGGCAGGGGCCGTSTCCGGGCCGGGCCGGGCTGATGCCGAGGGGCTCCCGCAGCGGCTCTGCGGAGCGGCGGCGGCCCTTGAGCTCCCCTTAGTGCCGGCAAGGAGCATTTGAGATCAGCGGGCTCCGCGGCGGCCATGGGGAGGGATGCCGGGAGGCGGCGATGGGTCCTGGCGCGGGTCCCGCCGCTCATCCCGCGGGTCCCATCGCGC